TTAATTGACAAATAATAATTATTCATGTTCAGGAGATTCAGTATTCCATACATGTATATAATGCCCAGTGTCCAAAAATTGTCAAGATTATCAGCCTTTCCATCACTTCAAATATGTACAATTTCATTGTGGTAAAAAATTGAAAATGCTCTCTTCTTCGTGTTCTGAAATACACAATACATGATGGTTAGTGAAAGGATGGAGATGGAACTGGAGAACTGTGCTCAATGAAATAAATCAAGCCCAGGGCCATTTTCATTCTTTTAAACCAGTTTCTCATCAGTGCCCAGGTGCTGGCCTGTGAAGACCAGGAGCAGAGTACATGCTGTCTGTGCTCTGCAGTGAAGGAGGAAAAGAAATGAAAACCTCTGCATACTGTTGTTTACAGTGAGTTTATTGTCCCATGGTTCAGAAGAACCATATGCTTGCTCTCCCTATGTGTCCATACACCTGAGTTTTACGTGAAAGTGTGTGAGAGCGTTCATCTGCAGTGAACAAGAGCAATTCTGCCCACCTGAAAACTTCACACTAACTTAAATGAGAAATGTGGAGACTCAGAATTCCTGGATTGGAACTAGGAATCCTGAAAGTTTCTGGGGTGCTGTTAGAGGAGGCCCAGGTCCTATCCATGAAGCCCTACCCCAACATTTCCCCAAATGATCCCCTACCTTTTCCATACAGATGTTTTGTGCTGAAACTGAATCAGATTTTCCTGTTCAGGGTTGTGTTCCACTATTTCCAGTTCTCAACTCTGAGTCTGACACTATAAACTCTACATGCCCTGGTTTCATGATTATTGGGGAGGTCACAATCCCTTTATCCAGTTCCTTCATAAAGGAGTCCAGCATCAATGAGAGATGCTCCATGGACAGCAGACCACTCGAAGGCATCCAGATCAGTTTCTGGTTAGAATCACTGGAGATCATCACTGGCAGGTCTTCTGCTATTGGCAGTTTTAAGTGGCTCCCTTCTGATCCGCATGCAGAGTTCTACTTAGGAGTTAGGTTTTGCTCTCCTCTACCACTGGCTTGGACTTCCCACATGCCTGGAATTCTCCATACCCCACTCCTCTGCTGGGATCTATATTCTATCCTGAATCCTCCTAGACCTGACCTGCTGCACCTCAGTCATACCCTTCACAGTCATTCTCAGGGAGGTCTCTGACACCACTAATAGGAAAGATCATCAGCATCTGCCCTATTCCAGTTCCCGTCCCTCTCACTGTGCCTACCAAGTGTGTTTACCTTCATGGTTCTTCACAGAACTATTACCAACGTTAGCAGGAGGTTAGAGTAAAAGAGAGGTTTTATGAGGAACCAGTATGCTCGACCTTCTGCACTTGATCCATTGTGTATCCTCATGTTCTGCCAGTCTGTACATCCAAGACCCTGTTTTACTCCTCTAACATCCCAAGCCTTACCTAATTGCTTGCTTCTGGACACATGAAGTAAGCTTTCAGGAAATATGCGGACACATGTAAAATTCTAGAGACTCAACTTTAGGGTTCCAAGTTCTCATTTCTACATTTATCTGTTGATACTCGGTGTAAAGATGAATGGTGAAACTCATAATAGCACATTAAAATAGTTTCCATTTTTACTCAGAAAAACATTAACAGAGGAAAGCAATATAATCATTTGAGAAAATACAATTAAAAAAAAACAAGGAAGCTTTCCCTTTTGGGGACTTTCATGACAAGTTTTTCCTCATGTTCTTTGAATACCCATTCTGACTATTGTCAGCTTGTACAGAAACACATGAAACCTGTGAAGAAACCATAAAGAAAAGATATTCTTCGTGTTTCTTGTTCTATTTTATGTAGTGTCTCACCAGACTTATGTGAAAAAGTCTTTAGCAAACACGCATGACACTTGTTCCACAAGATTCTCTTCTTCAGCCTACATAAACACAATCACCAATTGTTTGGATGTGAAATTTATGTAGGGAGAGTCAGGAAAAGTACTAAATATATCTTTCTTTCTTACTCTAATTCTGGGTAACACATTTTGGCAAATTCACTCCTGAAAACAACAAAAGTATTTAACTCAAACTTTTTGGATCAGGAATCCATGGTAAGTCTGCCTGTGTGTCCTGCATAGCTTCCAACAGGTGGTAATGCAGGTCTCCCCTGGGCTGTGATTCTTAGAATAGTCTTTTAGGATATCCAGTTCCTTAGGATGGTATGTTTCTGACCTTCAGTTTGCATGCCATGAGATCTATTTCCTGTTGCAAATCACTTCAGATCTCTGAAACTTTCCTGTTAGTGGTGTTGCAATGATGGCTATTCTAACAGGGGTGAGGTGGAATCTTAGTGTGGTTTTAATTTGCATTTCCTTTATTGCTAGTGATGGTGAGCATTTTTTCATGTGTTTTTTGGCCATTTGAATTTCTTCTTTTGAGAAAGTTCTGTTTAGGTCACTTGCCCATTTCTTTATTGTTTCATTAGTTTTGGGAGAGTTTAGTTTTTTAAGTTCCCTATATATTCTGGTTATCAGTCCTTTGTCTGATGTGTAGCTGGCAAATATTTTCTCCTACTCTGTGGGTGGTCTCTTCAGTTTAGAGACCATTTGTTTTGTTGAGCAGAAGCTTTTTATTTTTATGAAATCCCATTTATCTATGCTATGTCTTAGTTGCTTTGCTGCTGAGGTTCCATTGAGAAAGTTCTTGCCTATACCTATTAATTCCAGAATATTTCCTACTCTTTCTTGTACCAACTTTAGAGTTTGGGGTCTGATATTAAGATCCTTGATCCATTTTGAGTTAATATCGACCATTTTCTTTTATTTGTCTAATTCACTTCAGCCATTTCACTGGTACCTGGTGAATGCAACTCATGTAGGAGCTACTGAAGGTGCATCCAGTGGCTTTACAGGGGAGTCTCAGTAAACCTCCAGAGGCACCAAGCCTCCTCCAGACTCTACCACCTGCTCCTCACACTGGACAATGGCAAACACAGAAAATCGTGGTCAAGAAACTTCATATATACTCACTCTTTCTCTCACTCATGTTCACTCACAGACTCAGCATCTCTTTTCTCCATAAATCTTCTTTTAAAATAGCAACAAGAAAAAACCAGTTTGTCCCCAACTCCATGGTGAGATGGCAGTCTTTGTGGTGGTCGGTGGCCATGATAGAATTTGAAAAATGTGACTTTACATTGTGAGATGGATAGCAAGTCTCTGCATCCATTGCTGTTTTATTCACACCTTATTAGCTTATTAGCTTTTCGTTTTATTTTTGCCTTTCAAAGTGTGAAGTTGTGTGATGTGAATTAAGATCCCTGAGACAGGCTGGTGAGGTATGGCGTCTGTTGCTGTGTTGGTTTACCCCTTGCATACTGTCTTTAATGAAATGTCTGCACAAATAGTTGCCAATTTATATATACACTTAATATCTGAGTATTTAAAGTTCTCTTTAAATTCTGGTTACTGGTGTAGTGGTTGTTATGTGATTTGCGAATATTTCTCCTTTTGTGAATTTTCTGACATTTAAGTAATAGTCACAAGCTAAAAATAGTTTTGGAATTTTCATAAATTCTAATTAATAGATTTATTTTATTTATAATATGTTTCAGTTTTCCTGATTTTTGGTTGAGACTTCATTCCATATTTTCTAAAATCTACATAAACATTATTTTTTGTTTCTTATACTGTGATTGGATTAGTCATTGGTCTTTGCAAAGTCAGTTGAGAGATTTGTCCATGTGGGATGTTCATATATGTGTGCATGTGATTGTATGTAATAGTATGTGTGTGTGTGTGTGTGAATTTTGTGTTTGTGGGTGTCAGTATGTGTGGTAGAGTGTATGTGTGTGCACATGCATAGATTGTGGGCACTGATTCATTTACATGGGACAGTTTCCCTAAAGACATGTACAAATCTGATTTTAGGCTCAAACCAAGACCTAAATGAGAAACAGGGTTCTATATTCAACAACTGTGTATTTTATGTCCACTATATATCCATGTGATATGGTTGGTCCCAAGTGTGGCACTATAGGGAGGTGGTGGAATTTTTAGAGGTGGGGCTTAGTGGAAGGTTGTCAGATCATTTGGGTCACAGATATGAAGAGCACAGTTATATCCAGCTCCTTCCTGTTTTCACTCTTCCTGTTCTGTGTAATGAGATGAGTGGTTTGACTTTCTACACACTCCCTTAAGAATTTACCACCACAAAAACAACGTAAAAAAGCACAAAAAACCATGGATAGAAAATCCTAAAATTTAGTGGACCAAAAAAACCTCCAGAGTTACTGGCATTTTCCTAATAAGTGAAATATGGAAAACGCAGTAAATTTTGTATTACTCACTTAATTCCAAACGTTAATCAGACTTATTGAGATGTGTTTCTGACAGGAAGATCACATGTTTCTCTATCCAGTTTCCATTTTTCAAATTAACTGAGCCTCTAGCTCACTCCTGGTGTGAGCAGATCCCATTGAAAACCACAGAACATTTCCTTCTTCAATGCATGTGTCATACCACAGTGATGGAGACAAATGCAGGCACTTTTCCAATTCATAAATCATGTTTTCCTTCCATCTGTGAATAATGGCTATCTTCATTACAAGAAGCAAAGTATTTCCATTTCTGTAAATCCTCATGCATTCTGCATTCTGATACAATCATGCTTGTCCTACTCCATTTCCAAAAGTTTTGTTGAGGTAAACATTGTGATTTGTGTTCTCCTGCTGTGGCCATGTGAGCAAGTGTAGTGGGTTGCACCATACCAATGACCTATTTGGATTAGGTACTAGGCCCCCTTCATCCTGCAGCTTTAAAAAGAACACAGAAGCTCAGTTCATAACAACTCTCAAAGTACCTGTGATGTAGAATTAGAGGAGCAATAAAAAGATCAGGCTGTGAGGCCCTGGGTTGGAGAGGAAACCCCATATGCTGACATGACAGGGCACCTGCCCTCCACACATTCCTGATGCACAGAGATGACAGCAGAGTTGAGGCCCAGCTTCAGTTCATGTGCACGTGACACCTGAGGCTATGTCACTGTCTTCTTCGAGCACAGTAATAGGTGCCCATGTCTTTATAGTCCATGTTGGTCATTGTGAGGAACACCTGGCTGTCAAACCTGTCTTTGGAAATGGTAAGCCAGCTCTTCAGGGATGGGCTGCAGTACTTATCATCATCCCAATAGATGTTTGCCATCAACTACAGGGAATACCCCAGGGGCTGACAGATCTAGCACACCCCAATACCATAAGAGCTCAGTGAAAAGCCAGAGAAGGAGCATGTCAGCCTGAAGATTTGTGAGGATGGTATCAGCACAGGGCAAGTCTCCTACAAGATGGTCTGGGACAAGATCCCTGTGAAGATTCACAAGGAGAAGGTGAAGCATCTCAAGTGGACTGGAGAATTTCACCTCTGATGGAGCCCTGCAGAGCATGTACATACAGAGAGAGTCAGCAGCAGGGTCATGGAACACAGCCTGCCCATGATGAAATAGCAGTCATGATGAGTCTCTGTTTTTGGCTTTTCAACTCAGAAGTAGGTGGAGCTGAGGAATTTTGCATTCCTCTAACCTGGGTCATGATCCTGATGGGTACAGAATGGTCTCAGGAGTCAGTAATGGAACAGATCTGTGATGGGCGGCATCTATGTCTTCATGGGAGGTTTCCCATATCTGTTTCCAACATAGGTTGCCTGCCTCCAGGGTCCAATGCACACAAAGTATTCTCTTTCATCCTGTGCATTGTAGAGAGTGAAAACCTGTTCCAGGAGATAAGGTGCTCTCCTTGGATATTCATCACTGAACACTTGCAACTATGGTTCATGCCTACAGGACCATGGAAGATTTGAAGTGGTGGTATTCCACCTGCAGTCAGATTATGTGATTCCTGTGTCTGGGCAGCAGGAAACTTTCCCTGAGTGCTTTTTTTCTTCTTTCTATAATCCACGCAGATAGTAATGAATTGCTGCCATAACCACGGCTGATGAAATGGAAAGACATAACAAAAAATTCAATGAGTTTATGTTTAATAAAAATGGACTGTGGTGATTTCCACATCAGACAGAAGTCATGCTGAATGCACCATGCTGCCAATGTTTTTAATTTGGGGGAACTTCCTATGTCTCACTCATTTTTCACAGTCCCTATGAAAAACCTACTGAACATTTTTTGTGTCATCATTTGAGTCTTTGTCTGGGGAATTTGAATGAGAGATACTATCATGGTTTGATGCTGTGCTTCCATTATCCATGAGGTAAAACCTCCCCACATCACATAACATTTGCACTCCCCTACCTGTCAACAACCTGAATAGCACAGAAGTAAAACAGCTGCATTTATAGTAAATGTATTCCAGCAGTGCAGGAGCTGTGGAAGCAACTCTGTAGGTCATTCAGCAGCCAACAGGGTACTGAGTGTGCTCAGAGAACCACCAATCTCTGATGGTCCTCATAGCCCCCTGCTGGTCCCAAGCACCCTCTGCTGGTCCTCATCACCCCCTGCTGGTCCTGAATGCCCTGTACTGGTTCTGAGTGCCCTCAGTTGGTCCTGAGCAACCTCCACTATTCCCAAGTTCTCTCTGCTGTGTCTAAGCATCTCTTATTCTTTAAAGTATTCTTTGCTGACCATGAGTGCACACTGCTGGCCCTGGGTGCCCATCTTGAGCACATCCTGTTGACTCAGAGTTCTCCTGGTGGTATTCAATAACACTGTAGTTAGGTTTGTATTAGGGACCATTGAAGTCCCATCAAAAGTAGATCCACAGTAAAACTGAACTTGGTCTGGATTAGCAGACTTCATTTGCATGTATACTGTGTTCCTGTCTTTGTCTCTGAAGATGGTCAATTGTTCCTTCATTGGATCTGCAAAATATGTGGTATTAGCAGTATTAATTTTCCACCTGGTCCTTCCTCTACCTTGGAGCCTTGTGGAACATCTTGTGTCACAAATTTTGAGGTTGAAACAAGAGATTTTACAACAGAGTCTCAGGGCATCCCCAGACTGTACCAATCCTTTCCCAGAACCCACACACCTCCCCTCAACGTTGGACACCTGCAAACACAGATAATCCTGGTCAGGAAACCCTCATACATTCTCACTGTGTCTCACTCATCTCCCCTTACTCAAACACAGAGTCTCTGTTGTTTTTGTATATTGTATCCTGAAATAGCAACAAAGAAAAGCCAACACAGCACCAACTCCATGGTATGTTTTGTGTTCTGTGTTGATATCAAATGAAAACTCCTGGGAAGTCAGTACTGGGGAGCCACTCTTGGGTCTTCAGTGTCAGGATTGGATTGATTTTCCTCAGTAGAAATAGTCCTTTTTCATGGGTCATCCTACATTATAACAAGATCTGTCATTGGACACTTAGAGAAGACACTTACCAGAGAAGACCTGTGTCCTGTGGAATTTAGTGTTGATAATGTATGGAATCTGTGGGGTTTTTATCATGTGTTGGAGCTGTGGTAAACACTGAGGAAATTTCACATTGTTTCATTTTAGCACATGCACATACATTATAAAATTCTCCATGTTTGAAATTACAAATAAATCAATCCACCGGTGAGCAGCATATTCTAGAGTATACTCTCAGAGTTAGCCCCACTGTCTGGGATTGTTCTCTTCACCATTGCACATAATGCTCACTAATCCACTCCAACACTGAGTGGATCTGCATGCTGAGGCTGAAGAACCCCCATCCTGTATTGAGAAACACATGGTGATACTAATTCCAGTATGAACCTTAGGAAGGGCAGGAAAATCTGTAACTTTCTCCTGCCATTACCAAACGCAGTCACTACTTCCCTGCACATTTCCAATTCTGTAGTACGTTACTGTAGTATTAACTTGGATGACATGAGACTGAGAAGAGATAGTCTTCACAGTAGTCTCAGTATTTGTTAAACACTGATGAGCATACAAACTTGGGCAGCCTTCCCACACGGAGCAAAGTGAGCACATCCACCACTCTGAAAGTTTCCCCATGTTCCTTTTGTCCTCCCATGCTCCTTCCCCACCATGTCCCCAGGTAGCTCCTGATACTGAGGTTTCTATAATACTCTAGGTCAGGATATGGTTTCTAGCAGTTACAGAGTGCATTATGTGTTTTCTTTGACCTGTCATTGGCACTGATTAATCATGAATGTTACCATTCATCAGGCATTCTTTGGATTAATGATGGCTTATATTTCCATGAGTTAATTAGATGTGATTTGTTTACCTGGTGAGTTTCTGGTTGATATTTACATTACTTTCAGATTCTGACTGGACATGTGAAGATACAACTGAACTTAGAGATGTTGGCATCTGAGAACACAGCCCTCTTTTTCTTATAGCAACAAACAGAGCATCAAACACAAAATCTAGTACATTAGCTTCATCATTCAGATATTGAACATTACAGAAAAATAACTATCCTAACTCTGGGTGTAGACAATGCTTGAAGAAAGACTCATGAATTGGGGATGAGCTCACATGAGTTACAGGCACCCAGATGTCACAAAATAGTATAAACATACATGTGAAAAATACCAAGGAATATAAATGGTTGTATGTTTTGATTACATTATATTCATAAATGCTCAGGAAATTCATATCAATTGGGTTCCAATGCCTTCAAGAATTTTTCTACTGTGTTAGTGACTATACCACAGTTCTCTCCACAGTGGTTCTGAGTAAAGTGAAGGAGATCAAATTCTACCGTACTGAGAAAGACTCACCTTCTCCTCATCATTTCAGAAACACACAGTGAATCTGTCAAGTTGAGCCAGCCATCTGGGCCTGATTAATAAAAGTTGTGTGGGAGAAGCATCATAGAAAAATCTTGAATACTGTCAAGAAACACCTCCCCTGTGTCCCTAAGGAGTCAGGATTCATCTTCAAGCAGGAAAGCACACAGGAAGCTGAGGGTACTGTGGTGAACTATTGCAGCTGTGATGAAGAAGGACTGGGAAAAACCAAATCAAAGCCCTCTCCAGGGAATAAGCAAGAGAACAGGACCACATGTCACTTCTGCAGGAGGGACAGTGAGGTATGGAATATTACAGAATGAACCAAAACATGATACCTGCCTGGAATCTACACTCAGGCAGGAGGTCACAAAAGACATCCTACATTTTCAATTTCCTTAATATTAAGAATTATCAAATCTTAGCCTGTAGTACAGCAGGGAGGGGACAGTCACATAAATCCTCTCTTGAAAAGCCCAGAGCATCATGAAAGCTATGGTATGGGACCAAAACAGAGCACTTCCCTAACATCTGAACTCTGCTGTGCTCAGAAGAAGAGAATTTAGTTCTAGTGTTCATGATAACAAAATCTCCCAATGTCATTGTGATTTCTTGTACTGAAAATCCATAACAAATTTCTATGTAGTTCCATGGTTTCATGATCTCTAGAGTAAAATAAGAAAATAATAAGCTAACATATCATGTGCTATTAAATATACATGGATTTTAGAAAATAACAAATGACCTGAATAAGAAGTAAAAGTCATATGGACAGAGAATTACAATGCCATTATATAGATTTTGTAATTATCAAACTGAACAGAAAGTTAAAAATCATCATGATTACTGTGAGACACTTCTATATGTAGACTTATTGAAGGTCACTTAGGCAAGTCATCTATGAGTCACCAGGGACAATCACAGTGATCATAAGAACTGCACACCTTTGAGACTCATCACTGCATTGTGAAAAGAGGGAGATGAGAACCTGATCCCTGAAGCTAACCCTCTAATACCAAGAGGCAGCTGAGAGTTGCTGAGACTAGCAAGATATGAAGGCTGTGATTCCTGAGGCTCTGAGCTATAATAATAGAAGGTAGAAAAGAGTCCCAGAGAGACAGGGCAGAGTCTGAAAGAAGCTATAAACAGCATGGAAAAATTGACAAGGTGAACAGAGTGAGAAACTGAGACTGTGGAAGAGAAAATGCTGGAAAGTGGTGGAGTTGGAGTCCAAATGGTGAGGGATGCAACCTTGTTCACTAGAGGAGCTCCTGGGAGACTATGAGGGTTCAAAAACTAAAGGATTCATCTCCCAAAGCTGATGATGCTATAATGATAGCATCAAGTGCTGATACTGTAAGGACAGAGCAAGAGATATGGCTGACACTTATATTCCATTGACAGTAATGAAACAGACGCCCAGGGCAGCATACACACCATGGTGTTGTCATTGAGTTTTGAACCAGACTCAGGCTATCCCTCACCTGGATCAGCTTCCACGGGTCAGATGGAATGCGTCTGTGTCTTTCTCCTTATAGGTGTACACATGATGCTCTCAAGGTTCATAACTCCTGGCACGGGACAACAGTTAGGACAGGCAAGTAACATTCCTGGGTTTTGATGCTCAGGGTGACTATGTTCCCATTCCGTTTATCTAATGTGCACATTGACTGGCTATGTTTATGTGGTGGACGCTTGTCTCAACACCCCTCACCCACTGTGCCCAACTGTGTACTTCTGTATTACACATTGTAGGTCATGTGTGATGTGTGATGTAGGTCTGGGGACTTCTGGTGACAAACTCTTGCTACTTTCACCCTCCTGCAGGAATAAGTCATCTTTACATTAAAAGATCACCTGACACTCATCATGGGGGAACTATAAGGATTGGGCCCACAGAACTTTAGACTATTTCTGAGAACTCACAACACAAATGGGTGTCACATCTGCAGATCTCTCCTAGGAAACAGTGGCTAGAGATGACTCCATGATAGACTGAACAGAGAAAAGCCAGCTATCTGTTCACATTACATTTTGTCTGCCAGTCTCACTCCCAGGTTAATAATGCTATGTCCATTCACTACAAGCATCCTTCCACAGAGGACAGCAGGAGGCCCTGGGCTGTTAGGATGGAGAGGTCCAACCAGCTTTTCCCAGAGGTCTGCAGGAAACAGAGCCTAAGACACAGCTAAGATCCAGGTGCGTGGGCCAGGTCTTGGTATTTGTATCTCAGGATGTGAAACAGTATTTTCTCATTGAACAAAGTCAAAGGGGAAATATACACAAGACTATTACTGAGTAAGAAAATGAATTAAATAAAATAATACAAAATAACAATAATAATAAATAAATATTAAGTTATCACAATTAATAATTAATAGTAATATTTACTATTAATAAATTAATGTAATAATAATAATAAAAATAATAAATGGGTCAGATCTGAGCACAATGTGCCTGGTTTCTCACAAGAGGAGAGGAAAAGAAAGCCCTGTAATGTTTTATGCATCATTGACAGTTGTGTGGAAGCCCCTTTATCACAATCTGAATCCTAATGTCTGTGCTAATCAGTGAATGCCTCACAGTCTCTGTGATTTCGTGGTAAAAGACTTACCACGAAGCCCTGAGCCACTGCAGGATCTGATGCCATTGATACTTCACTGGATTGTTGGTTCCCAAGTTCATGTCCTGGCACAGTTGATGACTGAGGAGCTGCACAAGCAGTTAAGAGTTAAATAATTTCACCCTGCAGACCAGGAGTTAAGAGTAAAGCAAGAATAAAGTTTACTGAAAGGATATCAAAGCACCCTAATGAATGGCACATAGTGAGAGAGCTAAGCCAAAGAATGGCTGAAGTGTATGAGACCTTACAGGGTCTGACTTTAGGCACTTCCCCCACTCTACAGACTACACTGGTGTAATTGACAGCCTAATTGACTTTTCCCAACCACATCCTTATCAGACTTGACATTCAAGAGTGTCCATGCTGTCAGGATTTTCAAAAACATTTTATGACTACTGCTCATTGTTGAGCTGAGACTCCTTTTTGTTTTCTTGGGAAACTGGCTATGCTACTCTCATTAGAAGATCTATATTGCTCTTAGGAATATTTTATCTTGTTTTCCTTATCTAGGAAGAGAAACTACTGTGCCTCAGCACCTGTGTGCTAAGCTGTTTTCTCAGTCTCCCCAAATGTTTTGCTTTTAAATATGCCTTACTATCTACTTTATCTGAAACACAGTTCCTTTTGCCATCCTTCCCTTTATATCCAAGGGTTATTTCTGCTGTTTGTTCCTAGGGTCATCGCTGCCATTTCACTTCCTCACACACTTTTACCTTTAAACCATGACCATAGCACAGTCATTTCAGCCCCATAAGTGACATTCTGAATATTACATATGTGAGAATATATTTTATGCACTTGATTAGCATAACAAAACCTTACTCTTGATATTCAGAGACATTACTTATTAGTACAAGCAAGAAATTTGTTTCTCTGGGGAAACTGTTAGATGGAGAGGCATCCAACATACAAGGGAGACCAGTCCTTCATTCCTGTCTGCACATTACCTGAGGCTGAGCCTGAGCTCCATGTGTGCTGTGCGCCCCCTCTGGTCATGAGTGTCCCTGCAGGGAGGTTTGTGTCTGGGATCACAATGAAGCCCCATAACTGGGTGTCTTACACAGTAATACACGGCAGTGTCCTCGGCTTTCAGGCTGTTCATCTGCAGATACAACTGGCTCTTGGAATTGTCTCTGGAGCTGGTGAATCTGCCCTTCACGGAGTCTGGGTAGTATATACTACCACCATCTTTACTAATATGTCCAACACACTCCAGCCCCTTCCCTGGAGCCTGGGGGACACAGTCCATGTAGTAATCACTAAAGGTGAATCTGGAGGCTGCACAGGAGAGTTTCAGGGATCCCCCAGGTGGTACTAAGCCTCCCCCAGACTCCACCAGTTGCACCTCACACTGGACACCTGCAAAGACAGAGACTCCTTGTCAGAAAACTCTCCCACATATATATTGTTCTTCTCACGCATGTCCATTTACACACTCCGTCTCTTGTTATTGTAAATCACCTTTTAAAACAGCAACAAGAAAAACCCATCTCAAACCCAACTCCATGGTGAGTGGGTTGTGTTTAGTACTGATCTGTGAATGGGATCAACTAGAAATCCTGTACTGAGCTCCTCTCCAAGAGCTGCAGAGGAAGGTCTGAGCTTGATTTTATGGACAGAAGGAGGTCTTATTTGCATGTTCTCTTGCTATATAGCAAGTTCTTGGGTTTGACATAAAACAGAATAAGGTGCCCACTCCTGATGTGGGTGTTCTAGGAGAAACTTGAAGTCATGATAACATTTAGGTAAGTAGTTTTTATTATATGTTTATATTGTGATAATCATTGAACCCTGACTATTTTATCTCCATGTTCATGTACATATAAGTCATACATTTCATTTGCATCTTATATTGTCAAGGCATAAAAATTGAGTGAGAAGTAGTTAAGGACTAAGTGATATGCTTAGAACTCTTTTGTGATACAAGAAATCTCAATTATTTGGACCTGTAGACCTTCTCACAGTTCTCACTGACCATGAAGAGAATCCAAGGCAAAGGTGTACATACCTCTTCCTCCATAGAGAACACAGCATGATTTTCACCCATCCTTCATTTTCATAAACATTGAGAAGCAATTAAGAATCTTTCATGCATCTGCTCATGAGTCCCTCACAATTCTTATGTTAGTTTCTCTCACTCCTTAACTACCCAAATGTACTTCTGTTTATTTTTAATAGCGTTAATGAGCTATGAATGATACACAGTTTTACGTTTGTAAATATGTACAATATGATACATATTGAGAAAAACAACCATTGACACAATAGGGAAAAGCAATTTTGCCAAATATTTCCTCCTGTTTTGATTTTCTTGTTCCTATCCACAACTTACCTTACAAAATTATTGCAGGTATAGATACATGTATTATAATACTTCCATACAGTGTCTTCTGTAGTTACTAGATCATATAATGTTCCATTTGTATAAAATACTAGCTATAATGAGAGAGTCTGGATGTTACTTATCAAGAAATCCAGAGATAGTAGCATTATCCTAAATGTTTGGGCATCATTGCTGCTGTGTTTCACTTGTGCCTGCCTTGGATATTAATATTTTTCATTTTTAGTTTGTGGTTAATTTTTGTTGAGTTTATCATGAAGAACATACATGAGTCTAAGTTTCAGAGAAACATTAAATATATCTACATGCCATTATAATAAAGCAGAAGGAAGGCTGAACTTGGGTCTTGAACCTTCTGTAAATTCATTGCTGTTTTCATACATTGTGCATTGGCTAATCCATCTATGATCAGTTTTTCTGTAAGAAATCTTATAGTCTAAACTCTGAGCACTTTATAATTAATAGAGTATGTATTTACTACTATAATCACCATAGGCCACACAAGATCTGCTTCATTATTGTCCTTCTGTAACAGAAACTTTAAAACCTTCTATCAATATTTTCTCACTTCTTTTCCCCACACTCTTAACCTCCATTCTACTTGAGACTTCCGTTAGACCCACTGCTTCAAGATTCCACAAAACAAATTTCACTTAGCACAGTGTTAATCCAAATATAACTCTGGAGCCATCACAGTAGTGGCTATTGACTGGAAAAGCCTCTGACACCCACAAAACTGAAGTACAAACTTGTCCAGTTCTTATTTCCACAAACCATGAATCACTGGTCACTGAGTGTGGGCCCATGGACAGTCAATGCCTAAGTCAATAAACCCTGACCCAAACTCCTAGAGCTATGATCTCTGCCTTATAGAACTTGGAGCCACAGACTCTAGTTTTCAGGATCCGGATATGAATTCCTATGAGTTGTCAGTCTACCACACAATCCCTTGGCATTCAAGGAATCAGGATACCAACTGAGGAAGCTATCCTTTGCCTATTCACAACTTACAACAGTTACAGGAAAAGAACCCCAGTATTGACTAGATTCAACCTCTCCATCATTATCTCTCAACTACTTTCCCCTGCTTAAAACAAGTTCAGCAGTTTTCATTGTTTTATTTCATACAAGTATATGAGATACATCCACCATATTGTCTTTCTTTGGTCCTCCCTTTCCCACTGGATCCCTTCCCCTGAAAAGGACATCTTTTACCTTCCCATCCTTCAAATATTCACTATTTTAGATGAGAAAATTAACTATAGTCAGTATGCTGCACCATATTACTATAGAATTTATTCATGCTGTCAACCTGAAGCATTGTGCACTTTGACCTCCATTTCCCCATCCCAAACTGTGGTAATCACCATTCCATTGATTTATGAGTTCAACCTTTTGTATTCCACTTATTATTGAGACAGTGCAGTGCAGTGCTTGCTCCTCTGTTTCTAGCCTTTTTCACTTAGTATGTGACCAAGGTTTTTCTTATTATTTTCAATATTGTTGGGCTGGGGATACATGGTCACATTTACAAAATTTCTCACAGTATATCATATTTAAATTACCCCCTCCATCATTCTCCCTTACACTCTTTACCCCATTCCTGGAATAGTATCAACAAGTCTCATTTTCTATTGTCATACATGTGGATAAAATATTTGCAACATATTCACCCTCCTATACCATCTCCTCTACCCTCCCCTTATCATAGGTACCAAACCTTATATAGGATTGAATTAATAATCATTATTTAATGAGATGTTTGTCTGATATTAGAATCTCACATGCCACTTTCCAAGTTTCAGGATTCCAACTTCTATGAACTTCTAACTCTCTCCTGGGCATAAGCTTTCCAATGAGCAGATCCCATAGCATCTCCACTTTCATTTGCATACCACTTCTCTCAGATCTTCCATGTGTGCAAGATACCAATTTTGTATTATCAACTCATAAAATTTTTAGAAATTCCTCTCTTAAAAGAAAATTATGGTGTCCATACTTCAGAAAACCTTAATCTTATGGATTCTGATTCACTAATGTTTGTCCTATCCCACATCCAGAAGTTCAATCAAGACAAACCTAATAGGAATTTGTGTTCTCCTATGGTAGAGGTGTGAGCCTTTACAGTGGGTTGCACCATAACTCTGATCCATCTGGCCAAGGCACCAGATACTTTTTATCCTGTGCCATAATTAAAAAAAAACACTGTATCTCATTTCATACAACACCCAAGGGACCTACAATGTAGTTAGAAAAGAAAAAGGAAGACAGGGCTATGAGACCCTCGGGTGTAGAGGGAACTCCAGAGGCTGACAGGAAAGAGAACATCCTCCTTACTGTGCTGTTGCAAAGAGGAAGGAGCAGAGTTGAGGTCTTTCCTGAGATCTTCTGCAGGAAGCACCTGGGGCTGTCACCCTAAAGCCTTAGCACAGTAATAGGTGTGTCTGCAGGCTTCATGCTTGTCATTGTGAGGAACACCTTTTTTTGGAACTGTTCTTGGAGATTGTAATTGAGGTCTTCATGGCTGTGCTGGAGTAATTATCATCATCCAATCAAAGTGGGATCACCACTACTGGGCCTTCCTTGGGGCTGATAGGCTGAGGTAACAAACCAGTAGATTTCTGAGAGAAGGCAGAGAAGGAACAGGTCAGTCTGAGAGACTGGAAGGGTGGAACCAGCCCAGGGTTAGACTACTTTAGGGTGACATGGAACAGGTTCCTTGTGGAAAAACACAAGAAGAATGTGAAGCCCATTCAGATAATGACTTTCATTACCAAGGGTGACTTGCAGAGCACTCACAGTCAGGGAGAGTCAGCAGCACAAGCCTGGAACACAGCTGGTCCATGGTGGCTCTATGCTGGGCTTTTTAATCCAGGTGTGGCTGGAGCTGGAGAGATTTGCATTCCCTGTACCAGGATCCTGACCCCCTTGGGTCAACTCAGGTGTCACAACTCAGGAAGTGTGCAGGTCTGTGATGAGTATCACAGGTGACCACAGGTGAAGCTTCCATGTCTGCTTGCAATGGAGGTCACCTGCTTCATTAGGACCAAAGTTCTCTACAAACAAATTCATCTAAACAGCTGGGTGGTTTGTGGACAGTGAAACTGAGTGGCCATCATTACAGCTCACAGGGTAATCTTTTGGTGGGCTTATTCAAGGACCTTTGCCCATGTAATTCCTTCCTAAAGGATGAAAGGAGATACTATAGGATTTGTGACCCCCTGTTTTCATGATCCTGAAGGCTGTGTGTCTAGGGGACAGATGTTTCTGAGTTTCCTGTCCTCTTTATGATAGACAGAGAGATGAATTCATGATTAGCATGAATTCTACTGCTATAATTTTTTACTTCATGAGTTAATGTATAAAGAATTATTTCTTCTTTATGCTTCTATTAAAAGTTCTATCAATTTTTTCTCAACATATAGATTTAACTTCCTTTGTTATATATGTAAAATAGAAGTATAGTACACATGTAAAAATTATTTTAATATTTTAAGAGACTGATAAACTCTTCCCAGTATGACTATTTATTTAAATTCTCATCAGTATTACATGACTGTGATAATTTCTATAATCCTCATCAACACTAGTTGATAACTGTAATTTTATCATATGCATACATATTGGCATGATACTAAGAAGACTAAACAAAAAAATTCCTAGAAAGTCTTTGTCATTGCTTCATCCCAATTTTGATTAAAATAATTCAGAATGTAGAAAGCCTTAAACATAGGAAATAGATTTATATACACAGGGAGGTTGGCAAGGAGAAAACACAAAGCGAAAAGTGATAGTGAAGCCGGGTGTTGAAGGAAAATCTATAATCCCAGTTACTCAGGACACAGAGGCATCCTGAGAGAACAATCATAGAGACCCTATTTCAAAACCAAAGTACTAAGAAAAGCACTTCAGTGAGGAAATAAAACTATTTGCCAATGTCACATTTAATGGTTTCTGATCCCAAGCATGTGTCAAATATAAGGAATTAGATAAGCATATCTTCTAGGTCAAATTCTGAGAAGATTCTGATGAAGGCTAGAGGTGAAATTCAGTTGTTAGAGCACAGTCTTCTCAAGATGAAAGCATTAAGTTGTAACCCCAATATCCTCAGAAATAATTTTCAGGTAGCAAAGAAAATAAAAACTATTATTGAACAGAAACCTGAA